TTCAGTTCAGTTCAGTTCAGTTCAGTTCAGTTCAGTTCAGTTCAGTTTAGTTTTTTGAGACAGGGTTCCTCTGTAGCACTGGCTGGCCAGAACTCTCTCTATAGACCAAGCTGTTCTCAAACTCACAGAGCTCCATCTGCCTCTGCTTCTGCCTCTGCGTCCTGAGGACCAGGATAACAGTGCTCACCACTGCCCAGCTTTTTTGTTTTTGTTTGCTGGTGGATTTGAGTTTTCTGAAAAGGCTTTCTTACCTCAAAGAAGAAGGGATGTCCAGCCATGTCAAAGATGTTAACTTTGATTTCTCTGTCTCTCACTTGGACCCTGAAATATTCAGATGGAAACAATCTCAAAGGTTGTGTTTCTGCACTGACATTTAAGGATTTTAAAAGGAAGCAGGAGTGACATTTCCAGAGGTTTCGGCATCCTCTTCTTGACTCCAGATAATCCTTACAACAGGAGTCGGCAAGTTGGCCAACAAACCCACCTCCTTGTTTGGAACACTTAATCCTTGAGTAAGCACCATCTTCCACCTCGGATACTTCAGTGCACAACCCTGAACCAACAAATTGCCCCCACTTACAAAAGGATCATCCAGCTGAGCTTGTCATGAGGGTAGGGGTCATAAGACCCTCATCTGAGTTTCTAGCTACTCTCTGACACCTGTTTGTATATAACTCTGACTTAGGGGAAGCCCTCATCCCAGATGGGTAAAGACTTTCTGGTGCCAACTTTTTGCAAGAGGAGCACCTACACCATGTGTAAGCCCTCACCTATGTAAGCAAAAGACACTGGTTGGTTCCCTAGGTAGAATCTTGCTTTAGTTAGTCATGGAGACCTTGAGAGGAGGGATAAACATTCTTTACGTCTTCCTTTGGAAGGAATTTCAGAATACTCATCATGAGATAATCACATTTTTAAAAATTAGTAATAAACAGAATAGCCTATTGAATAAGTCCAATTCACCCTGTCTCAACAAACAAACAAACGAATCACAATTCTGTGGCATTATATAGCAATTTCCATCTGTTAGATAAGCTGTGAGCACAGCTGCCTTGAACAGAATGCCCACCACATCACTGACGAACTCCTATGCTCTGAAGTACAAAACAGGAAAGAAAAGGGTAGAAAGAAATGTGGGTTTCAAATGAAGAGCTTTGTAACTCTCAGTCAAGAGCTACAAAGTCCATACGTTAAATTGTGCAAAAACATCTCCTGCTGCTTTCAATTAAAAATGGTGATAGAATTTATATGGAACTCTTGGGTTCTACTTTGCCACGGATTTGAACTACTTTAATGCAATCTAGGACATATGCAAACTCGACCCTGCTCTTCATACTACTGACATTCTGCTTTAGATATACCTCACCCATTTTATCTACCTTCTTAAATATTGCCTTCATATTCTGATATGAAAATTTTCACCTCTAAGTATATCACTATTTATTGAGCAGGGAGAAGCACTGTACCAGGCCCTTGGAGAAAACATATAAAATCCCTTTTTACAGGACTTATTTTGGATGCAGGACATAAAGAACTAAACTTTGACTGACCAGGAAATTTCCTCCCTGCTGGTCACCTTACATAGTACCAGAAGATGGTATGCAGGATGCTGGGGAAGAAAAGAGATCATGATCTCCCTCAGTGGTGGAACCTACATGCGACAGTGCAAACCTGCCTGGCAAGATACATCCATTGGTGTAACCGTGGCATGGCAGGTATGAGGTGTGGTGGTTTGAATAGAAATGGCCCCAGAGATTCATGTGTTTGAATGCTTAGCCCTAGGGAGTGACATTATTAGGAGGTGTGGCCTCATTGGAGGTGTGGCCTTATTAAATGAGGTATGTCACTGTGGAAGTGGGCTTTGAGGTCTTAAATGCTCAAGCTATACCCAGTGTGAAACACATCCAGTCTCCTGGCTGCCTTCAGATCAAGATGTAGAACTCTCGGCTCCTCCAGCACCATGTCTGCCTGTACACCGCCACACTTCTTGCCATGATGATAATGGACTAAACCTCTGAACCTGTAACCCAATGAAATGTTTGCCTTTATAAGAGTTGCCTTGGTCATGGTGTCTCTTCACAGTAATAAAACTCTAAGACATGAAGGTAATCAACCACTTTAGGATTATGTATGAAAGCCTGGAAAGATACATACAAGAGAGGAACTCTTGTTTTTGTTTTGCTCAATGTCATTCTGTCAAACTGCCTTCTCAATATTTATGTTTAGACCCATAGATTTGTGTTGCTCTCAACTTTGGTCAGAGAAGCTTCTGCAATGTGTAATTAACCAGAAACGTAAAACTGGTCAAAGTATCAAGTATAAATAACTATGAATGCTTAATTACGGTTAGATCATCTCTATCAGCCTTGACCAAGACAGTTCAGGGAACACCAAGCAAGAGGTGACAGAAAGAATGAAGGAGCTGACGGGGGGGGGGGGGGGGTGGCAGAGAAAGTTGTGAACTACTGGCTCTGGTTATGGCAGGGCTGCTGTACACATCAACTCACAAAACCTGGGGTTACCTGGACAAGACCAGATCAAGCCAGTCAAAATTCTAGCACTGATAAAGGACCCTTGGGGCCTCATCCTTGGTGGAAGACCTGCTGGCAGTTGGAGGCTGCTGAGGGAAGGAGAGTATCTTTTGGGAGAGTGGCTACTGGTAGGTTGTCCATGCGAGTGGATAGCCTCACACACATGTAGAGATGGAGGTAATGGCGGGTGGGTAGAATCCAAATAAATTATACAAATGCATAAAACTTTCAAAGAAAGAACAAAAATATTAGCAAAAAAGATACCCCTTTCTCAAAGTCAAGGATATTAAACATATACAAATAATACACACCGTAGCAAGCACCACAGACAATACAGAAAATTCTAGCGTGTGTCACATACAAAGGTCCTCACTGATAAAGAGGTGCTCAGAGGCTAAAGGCGTGAAAGTCCGTGTAAGTCTGTGTTTAAGAAATGTACTCTTACTGACTGCTCTTCCAGAGGTCCTGAGTTCAAATCCCAGCAACCACATGGTGGCTCACAACCATCCGTAATGAGATTGGATGCCCTCTTCTGGTGTGTCTGAAGACAGCTACAGTGTACTCGTCAATAAAATAAATACATAAACCTTTAAAAAAAAAGAAAGAAAGAAAGAAAGAAAGAAATGTGCTCTTTGTCCTGACTTTGGTGCTGCTTTTCTTGGTGCCTTCTCTCTCCAACCATTCCTGACTGAAACAAATTCCCACTTATCCCCCACTTCACTATCCTCAGGTCTACATACTGGATTCCAACAGGCTATTAAGATCATAAGCCAACAAAAGAAAAAACAGCCTAAAAACACACCTGCTGGTCAGACCTGCTTGCACAGACGTCTGTCCTAAGATGCTCCAGCTGCCAGTCAGGCTTTGTGTTGGCCTGTTCATTGCTGCCAAGCCTACATCTAAAACCAGGTCTGGCCTGGCAAGCACCTAACACGCCGGCTGGCCGATAGGATGGCACCACATATCTGAAAAAGTCTCTTAGACCTGTCTTCTCTGATTTATCTTCAACGCCTCTACATCAGTGTAAGCCATGCACACGCTCTGATGCAGATGCAGGCTATCTTAGGCCACAGTCTGAGCATCTGTGGAATGCACAGGCCAGAGGAACAAGTACTTACTTTGTGACTCCATAGTCAATCCCGATGGTTGCCAGGTATTTAGATACAAATCTCTTCTCACAGTACCGCTTTATAATGCAGCTCTAGAAAGTCAAACGTGCACGCGGTTAGTGATACACACTGGAAAGCTCTCGGAAATAAGCACATTTCTTTGCTAGGGTTTCCTCAGTCACCCCAGTGAAAATGGAAGAGTTTTCAAAAGCAACAACTGGCTGACGTGGCAGTGGATGCCCAGAGAAACAGAAGGACCAAGAGATTGAAGCCAGACTCAACCACATGAGGCCCTGCCTCAAAACTAAAACAAACCTCCAAAAGGCAAGAACAAAAACTATAACGTACCTGAAACAAGCATAAAAAGTGATGGCTTTACTTCTTTGGTTTAAGAGGGTTCCTGGCTGACCTGGAACTTGCTATGTAGATCAGGCTAGCCTTAAACATGTCTCTGCCTCCCTAGTACTAGGATTAAAAGCACATGCCACCAAACAGGCCACAAGTGATGACTTAAAAGAAGAAAACCTAACTCTCACCTTCATACTAAACATGGACATGTTTTCAGTTGTATTGCCCATCGCTGTGACCTTGTCTTCTGAGATCTCTCCCAGCCTTACGCAGTCAACACCATTCGTCTCCACATCTAGCCTCACTCCCTCCCAGATGCACAGGTCTAAGCACTACTGGATGGTGTCTACTCAAACATCCTGCCGTCATCTAAGTCAACATGTCCCCAAATGAGCTGAGGACACACGACAGTAGTCGGTCTTACCTACGTCTGTTAATCAAGCCATGATTGCCCCAGTGAAAAAGGATCAAAATATTAGATTTGATTCAGGGCCTAAGTCCTCAAGTCTACATTGTAATTATCTTTAGTGCCAATATCCAAAAGCAAAAACCCACATGAATAAAATATATTACATCTACATAATAGAATATATTTCTATGATATGAAGAACACACTGATATATCTGATATATGCCACAGCAAAGATGCACCTTATACAAATTATACTAATTATAAGTAAAAGAAGCCTGTAGTAAAAGATCATGTAGTATATGGATCCATTTACATGAAATAGCCAAAAGAGGCAAATCCATAGAGGCAGGAAGTGGGTTAATGGTTAGGGGAAATAGGGAGAGCCTGTTAATTGCTGGGGTTTTTTTCCCCTCCAGGGGATGATGAAAATATTCTACAATTGATCATGGTAATGGTTTCATAACTCTGAATGAAATGAAAATCAGTGAACTCTATTTTTTAAACAAGTGAACTCTACGTGAATTCTGTCACATGAAGGCTTTTACTTTAAATTTTTTATTTCATTTTTAACTGTGTTTATGTGTATGTCTGTAGATATATGCACATGTGAATGCAGGTGCCAGTAGAATACAGTAGAGGGTATCAAATACCCTAGAGAGAGATACAGGCAGTGGTGAGCCGCCCAATCGGGTGCAGTTGTTGGGAACTGAACCCTGGCCCTCTGCAAGAGTGGCAAGTGCTTCTAACTGCTGGGCTATTTAATTCAAGACATTTTAAGGTTTTCAATCTTTGGGGATGAAAAAAGAGTTATTTCTAATAGTTTTCCCTCCAATTTGTGTGTGTGTGTGTGTATGCGTGCGTGTGCACGTGCGCACAAACCTTGTATCAGAGGACAACTTTTAGAAACCAGTTCTCTCCTTCTACCATGGGTTCTGGGACTGAACTCACTAGGCTTACACAGTATGGGCTTTTCCACCAGCTCACTCGAAACGCCAAGGGTTTATTCCTTTCTCTGTGAGCAACTTGAGACTTCTCCGTGCCCCTCGTCCTTATTCAATTCAGCATCTTGCACTGACAGTCAGTGCACCCCAAAATCCCATGCCAGTTTTCAGGGTCTCCTGAAATTACCTAACACGCTCATTCCGACCTTGTGTCTCTTTTAAATACTATGATAATTTTGATAGCATATTTAAAAATGGTTGTGAATAAAATAGTGGCAATAGTTTCATTTAGTGTATTAAGCACATTTTTCAAAGCTGTCCAACATGTATCTATTTAGAAAGCCAAAAATTTAGGTGAAAACGGGAATGTTAATTAAGTGCAGGGGATCACTCTTCAGTGGCTACCCATCTTTCTTTTTGAGACAAGGTCTCTCCTGGGACCTGAGGCCTGCTGATTAGGCTAGGCTACTTGGTCAGTGGGTCCAGGGATCCAACAGTCTGGGCTTGCCTAGCTCTGGAATTTAAAGCTTTTTGCAGGGGTTTTGGGTAAAAGAACTGCTCTCCATGCTTGCAACTCCCTTTGCTTTTTAAAAAAAGAGTCGTAAATGTTAATCTTCAGCGAACGCTTTTAACACATACATGAAGGCACATAAGTAGAAATAGTAAACATCAATAAATATGTGCTGAGCAGCCTCTAGCCCAGGGCACTGGTTACATAGTATGTAAACTCTCCCGTTAGAGGTCTTCTGCATTGGGTTTAGGGAAGTCTCCGCTTCTGATCCCTTCCCTGTCACTGTCTGTCGACCTTGGGAATTCTTAACCAACAGTTTCCGCACGTTAAGGGAAGAAAACGAGTAACAGGCATCTAAACTCATTTAGGAAAGGCCTTGGGTCACTCTTCCCTTCCCATCTGAGAGGAAGTTTAATAGCTAATAAGCAGCAGACGGAACACACAGAAAGATATTACTTTTTTTAGGAAAAAAAAAAAGACTTTTCCGAGAAAAATGGACGTGACAGTATGAGAAATTAAAGCAAAAACGCAGGCTCCTGGGCGGCCAGTGCACGTCCCCTGAAACACACTGGGTTGTTATGCTCTGGTGATGGGAATATAGCCTCCTAGGTTGTTCAGGGCTACAGTTTTCGGAATCTAACACCTCACTGGCACCTCTTTAAACAGAAAGGCTGGCAACAATTCTCCCTAACCCGCAGGTCCTGGACCCCTCTTCCGGAAAACAGATTTGGTATACAAACTGATCCTCGGACATTGGAACCTAGGCCTCCTTACTACCTTCAAATTACAATCAAAGATCAGAGGCCACTCCAGACACCTTCTTAGGGACAGTGACGTCAGTAAAGAGCCAGCAACGCAAAGGTCAAAAAAGGTCAAGATAGTTTTCCTCTGGTGGATACCAGCCCCCGTGAGCAAAGCGGACAGAGAGAGGGTGGAGCTTCAGGTTGTTGAGTGGCGGCTCTGCTAGCCAATGGGTACGTCGCTCTGGCACGCGGAGGTCCTGCCCCTCGCAGCACGCGGTACTCACTTTCCCCACTTCGGCGTTGCCCATGGAGATGACTTTGATGCGGAGGGACTTGGCGGGCTCCTTCCGCTTCGGCACGTTGGGCTCCATCGCCCTCGCTCTGCCGGGACTGCGGGTTCTGGTGTCTTTATGCACCCAGGCCCGTCCCTCAGGCCTCCTCGCCCAATGACGGAGCCGCTGCGCTCGTCACCACCCCGGTTCCAGGGCTCGCCATCCCCACCACTGCCTGTCCGGGGACGGACGCGGGCGGTTGGGAAGCGGCGAGCTGCGGAGGGCTTGCGGAGTCTCGCGATGACAGCGCGCCGTGACGTCATTGCGGGACCCGGGAGGACTGGGGCTTGGGGTCCTGGTGGGCCAGTGCGGTCCGGGCGCAGGCGATTAAGGTTTCTTTGCCTGGCTCCAGGATTGGTCTGTATTTGGTGGCAGAAGTAGAGTGGCTGTCACGGGCAGTTTTTGAAATATAGTGTAAGGCCCAGTCATGCCAAAGGCTTTTTTTTTCTGGGATCTTCGCCGATGGGGGTGCCCCTGCTGCCATCCTCCTCTCTATCAATACAGTGACCCCTCGGTTTCTGCAGGGGACTGACCCCAGGATCACAGTAGATTCTGCGGATGTCCCAGTCACCTAAAGATGGTGTCCAAGCAAACGCTTTAAGCCTAGTACTCGCAGGTGGATCTCTATGAGTTCAAGGCCAGGTGGGGCTATATTGTGCAATCCTGTTTCAAATAAATATATAAAAACCTTTATGTGTAAATTTTATATGTATAAAAATCTTTATGTAACTTATGCACATCCTCAGCCTATCTATGTCCTCTCTACATTACTTGTCCCACAGTCTTGGGGTTACTATTGATGGGAAGAAACACCATAACCAAAGCAACTCGGGGAGGAAAGTGTTTAACTTGGCTTACACATCACTGTTCATCATCAAAAGAAATTAGGACAGGAACTAAGATAGCAAAGGAACCTGCAGATAGGAACTGATGCAGAGTGTGGAAGAGTACTGCTTAGTGGTTTGCCTCTCGTGGCTTTGTTCAGCCTGCTTTCTTCTAGAAGTGAGTTATCTTGGCTCCCACCCCAAACCCAATATAGCCAGCATGACTACTAAATACAAGGTAAACGCTATTATAATGTAAATGCCATTACTATGTAAACAGTTTGTTATTCTATTGTTGCCCTTTAGAGAATAATGACACACAAAAAAGATACCTGTTTAGTACACAATCACCACCACCCCGATTATTCTTAATGGACTGTTGCTTCAATCTGCAGACAGCCTGCAAAAGCAGGGGGCCACCTGCAAGATTTCTTTTGTTCATCTAAAAAGGTGACATCAGATGAGGGAGTCCGACCCTGGTTCCGGAAGAGGACTCTTTCCTTGTTGAAAACCAGAGTCACCTTTTGGAGCAGAGGCAGCAGGGGGTGGGGATGGGACGTTAGTTTTCCTCTCTCTAGCTTAGGTCCAATGGCCCCCATCCTCAGGAGGAAAGCTCAGACTGGATAGTTCTTAAGGTTGGTCCAGCTCTGTGAAGGTGTGAGATCCCGACAGCTGCCAGCATCCAGGCTTAGCCCAGAATCTTGTTCTCTTTCCGCTTACCTGACAAGATAAGGTAGAATCATAAATTCCATGATAACTTATTATAGAAAGCAACTGTTTGAATGAAAGTCAGTCTGACAGATGCACTATTCTGCTAGTCAATAATTTCAGCTACAGATGTAAACAGAGCTTGACAAATGATTATCTAGTGCCCTGGGGAAAGAAGGCTGACAATTTCTCAGTCCCAAGAAGGTGAAGGTGTCTCCTTCCACAGTGCTTTAAACATCTTAAACCAAGTCTGGGAAGACACAGTGAAGGCTGGAGTCCTCCGCTGTTACTGTAAGTCAGTTTCAGGCATGTTTAGTTTAAAATATTAAATGCTTTCTAATGGAAAAAAAGATAGAACCTATTCTGATAATTGACATACAATGTAATATGTGACCATGGGAAGTACAGCAGGAGAGAGGGCCAGCTATTGGTTTTTGGCACCATTTGATAGGTTATTTCTCAGCTGCCGGTGAAATGAGCCAAATTCAAGCCAGATTAGAATATATTAAAGGCAGGTTCATTGGGAAGAGAAGGAAGAGAAGGAGGAGAGAGAACACCAGCAAAAAAATGTCTGGATTATATAGGGAAGATCCTCTAGGGAAATGTCAGCCCAACCCTTGGGGTAGAAAGTTCAGGATTGGGGGCAGGATATGCCAGTTAGGGACTGAGGGATGCTAGGAAAACCTGGAGGCCAGGTCTGCTTTGATCTGTAAAATATGCACCTCAGTCCCTTGGTCCCTGACCAAACAAATAATACATAATAGTTAGCTGGGTGTGGTGATACACACCGGAGGCAGGCAGATGTCTATAGGTTTGAGGCTGGCCTGGTCTCTGTCAAGTTCTTGGCCAGTCAGGGATACAGAGTGAGACCTTTTCTCAAAAAAAGAATGAATGGGCCGGGCAGTGGTGGCACATGCCGTTAGTCCCAGCACTTGGGAGGCAGAGGCAGGCGGATTTCTGAGTTTGAGGCCAGCCTGGTCTACAGAGTGAGTTCCAAGGACAGCCAGGGCTACACAGAGAAACCCTGTCTTGAAAAATCAAAAAAAAAAAAAAAAAAAGGATGAATGATACTGGATGTGGTGGCACAGGTCTTTAATGGTAGCATTTAGAAGGCAGAGATAAGTGGATCTCTGCAGGGCCAACCTGGTCTACATAGTGAGTTCCAGGACAGCCAGAGCTGCATGGGTATCTCCTTCTTTACAAAAGCTGTTAGCTATCTGAAATTAACGCTTTTAATTTCCAGACATTTAAAAAATGTTTAAATACACATTTTATGTAGCTAAAGATTTAGTATTACATTTCATTTTTAAAATTATTTTAAAATAGTTTAATGAAGAAAAGTTTAGGAACAACACAAAAAATAAAATTTACAAATCTTTCTAGAGCCATCATTTGCTAGATAGGTGGTGTTGACTATTTGTACAGATATGCACACACATTTTCTCAGTCATTTGAAATTAGTTTCCAAACTTTTTAAATCCATAAATACTTCAAAATGTATTTCTAAGAACAGGAACTTGGTCTTACATAGCAATATTACATGTATCAAAATCAGGCAATATGGAACCAGCAAGATGCCAAAGTGGGCTAAGGTGCCCACTGCTAAACCTAAGCTCTAGACCCCACATGGTAGAAGGAGAGAACCAACCCCCACAAGTTATCCTCTGACCTCCACACAGACTCTGTGGCATAGGTACACACATGACACACGTGCACACAAATTAAATATAAAAGGATTTTTAAAATCAGGAAATACAACATTTAAACAGCACTGTCCTATGGCCCCATAATTTTCAAACTACACTGAGATCTCCACAGTCCCTCCGCAAGTTCACAGGCAGATATCTGCAGGCAAACAAAATGAATCACGACCACAAAAAGTACAGCTTGGTGCTGTTTGAAATTCTAACAGCAGATGGCGCCACATCCCTGGTCTATGCCATATTGGAGTTGCGTTTTAGGTAGTTGTGATTTAAAAAGGGGGGTGGGGGAGACAGGAGCTCAATCTGATAGAGTTTGCTTGAGAGGCACACTTGTATTTGAATGGCTACTAAGTTATTAGGGTATAAGTATTTAATGAGTGAGTTGTTTGCACCTAGGTATTTCTTTGAACCAGTACACAATGTGTGTGTTGGGGGGGGGGGAGGGATGAGAGGAAAGGAAAGGGGAGAGAGAGAGGTTAAGTAGCCCA